CACTGCTCTGCAGCATTAAGCTCTGCACAGGGAACCAACAGAGTTCCCCACTGGTCTCATGCTCTAAAATAGAATACAAAGTATAAATGAGGGTGGCTATCAGTTTGCAGTTTTGTGGGGGTGTTTTTTGGTGTACAGTTATGCTGTAATTGTTTTTACTGGAAGTTTTAACTTTCTGAAAGCACACCAAGTCTAATTTAGGAATTGGAAACTAATAAAAAGCTATGCTTCAAACCAGTGCAGATTCCTTTAGACTCAGATACACCATTACCTAAGACAAAAATCTTGAGAAAAAGAGCAGCTCTTCCTCTTTTATTTAAACACACATCACTCTTCACTCATAGATCTCAGAGCTAAAGAAAGGGAACTGATATCAAAGTTCTCTAGAGGGAAGAGAATAAGTAATCTACCAAAAGTTACACCACATGTCCATGATGGGATTGGGAACAGAATCACAGCTCTCTCTGGAGTATACTGATCCTTACAGCACACACAGTCCTTTAAATGTCCACTGCTATAGAACATAAAGAAACAAGGACTTATAGCCAGTTTGCTGACTATCTTAACAGCATATTGTTAACAGTCATATCTAAATGATTAAATGCCACACTAGCAATGGTTTCTAGTCAGAATCTCTACTTACAAGCTTCTGGAAAACTAAACACACCCTATAACTGTACTGTACCTCTGTCTTCCTCAGGTGTAAGAAGATATTTTGCCCATTATCCTTTTTTTACACTAGGACAGAGCCATGCATGCTATGCCTTGAGTAACATCATTACACAGTCAGTAAGAGGTACTCCATGCATCTCTTGCTCACATGGTGGGCATAACCCGTCTGTTATCATGGTGAACAGCAGGTCAAACACCACAGCCTCCCACTATTGATCCTGCAGGCATAAATGTCTATACAGATCCCATGACTTTCAACCTTGCCCTGGAAGCTAGGGTTAAGTTCAAATTTAGTAACTTACAACACATCCTAGACTATTCATAGCCCCCTTACATACCAGTGTCCCAACTATGGGATCTTTCTTTTTTCTGGTGGTGCCCTCTCTAAGAAGAGGAAAAAATAGGCTGCAAGAAGAGGACCATAGGCAAAAAAAAAAGACTACTTCAAGACAACATAAATTGATCTCTGTGCTGAAGGGGAACATGGTCAATCAGAACCTACAGCTCCTGCATTACAGCTCTGCCACAGCCCTCAAGCAAGTTATTTGTGTCAGTTCCTGCTCACCACACAGGTATTTTTGACACTAGGATAAATAAGAGTAATAAGTTCTGTATTTCTCATAACTTACTACTAAACCTAATCTGCAAGCTCTCATACCTGATACAGAACCTATAAGCTACAATTATTTATGCTCTCTATATAAATTTTATGAAATTATGTTCTATATAGCAAACATATTGCTTTTTCCAAATTAGAAAAACCAAAGTTTTAAGTAACTTAAATCCCAAACCTCCCAAATCAACTTCTGAATGTGACCATGCTTCACAAAGCTTTGCTATGCAATATAAAATTCTAGGCTTACTGATTTTAGAAGAGTTCTCTAAAGGAAACACTTGATCCACTTGCACCTTACTGCCCAGTCACTCTCCCTTCCATCTCTTTCCTAGTCCTGATTATTTTCTTAATTACGACTTTGACTGTATCAAAGATAAGTTTTAATACTCCCAAATGGCAAAATTCAGTCAGCAGAAGAGCAGTGACATTTCAGAATACTACATCAAGTCCTTTTATAGTACATTTGTTCAGCACATCCAGAAAAAGCTGTGCAACTGGTTAAAAAGGAGACATGAATAGCAATGAAAAAGGCTACATTAAGATCTAATCTACACAGAAAAACAAGACAAACTGCAGACAAAAACCAAACACAGTAAGAGAACTTTATAAGTGGAAGCCATCACCTGCACGACACAAAACAGCTCTAGAACCACCCAGACCATGAGTACTTCATCTTTTGTGGCTTCTTTACATACAGAATCTATATAGCCTTTAAGAAAAAGATGTAGCATTATGCGGTTTCCAGAAAATGGAAAAAAACCCACACACACCTATGTTTTAACTCTGTATACACGTGCATACTTGTTTAAGTACACATATTTGTAAAGTTTCTAGAAGCCAACTCCAGGGATTGACAGCTTTTTCAGAACAACTAGTGTTATTTCCTATGCTGCAAGAAGCACATAGAACACTTCAGATACTGAATAACTGGGAATTTAACATGCTTCATTTAGCTCTACACCTAACTCTGTCTCCTTGTGACAAAGCACAAAAGTCATTAAAAGTGCAAACACCCAACTGTGCAAAAAAAAAAGGGCAAAACTTGTGCATCCTGTTATTTATTGGTCTTTGTCACCAGCTTAGATTGGTTTAATTTTGCCATCTACTGTAAAAGGGGGAAAGAAGAAAGGGCAAGGGACAAAACAAGTGGCATCTAAGAAATTGAGAGCATCTCTGAATCTAAAGATAGGCCCGTGTCAGTAAAATGAGCTTTCACTGCTGGGTGTGAAAGCAGACACCAACTGAATGCCCTGCCTCAAACTACCGTGCTTTACTGTTAGTCTGCATTTTGGCTCCACATGCAAATAACTTTTCTTCTTCAGGTACTGAAGGAAAGCACACACTCAGAGAACAGGCAGCACCTTAAGCACTTTCATAAAACAAGCTGAGAGAGAAACTGCTCTTCTAGAGATGCTCCGCCCCAGAATACACAGCTCAATAAGCCAAAAAGCCTCCTCTTCCAGACTCCATCTTAAACAGTTTTAGAGGAAGAAAACCAGGAGACCTACGTACACACTAGAGATATGATACCTCAATACTGCTTTAGACTCACTACCTCCATCCTAAACTGGAGTGTTCACCTATCAATACAGATAGATATAAGGAACAAGAGAAATGCTTATTCATGCATCAAGCCAAGTCCTGAGATGCATTTAGCAAGCCAGCTGGACCACTCAAGCTATACCATGCACAATGACACACAAGATAAAAGACTGAGACACAAGCCACCCCTAGCATACTTGTTAAAACAGTAAAAAAGCCACACACAGGAAAAAGAAACCAATCTTTACCCTAAAAAAAAATAAATAAAGCTCTGTAACCAATCAACTGGTTTTACATGAGGGAAATTAAGAAGCATGAATTCATGCTGTCCCTTATCCCTCTTAGTTTCTAGAAACAACAGACCACCGCTTTCCTGTAAAAGGACTACTTGAGGACTAGAAGCCAAAAAAAGTTCTGTTCTTGCTGCACGGATGCAATATGAGCTATTATTAACCTGCGCCAAATATCACAAATGAAATAACCAGGGCTGCACTGCATAGCACAGAATTCCCCTTGACAGCAATGAAACAAGGTGATCAACACTCAGATGGTAAACACGTAAGGGAACCCTCTACGTCTTCAGACCTGTTGTTCTACTTACCATACCACTTTATTTTTAAGAGAGACACACTGTCAAAAAACAGCACGTCACCTATTCCCCCCACCCCCTCCCCTCTTGAGTAAAAGTGGACAATATACAACTGTTTGTTCTAAGCATATCTTTTTCAAAGTTACCAAGGTCATTGCTAACTAACATCAAAGAAAAAGCATTTACAAAACACAGAAATAAGTCTCCTGATCTAAGAACAAGCAGACTGGTAAGCACATGAACTACAGCTAAACTTCTCTTTCTGATGATATATGAAAGACAAGTTCTTATTACACTGCAAAGAAATGCAAGACACCAATATTCTGTTTAAATGCCAATCTGCTCTCTGCCTTTAACTTGGAACAATTTCTGAATCCCTTCATAAGTCCTTTACTGAGCTACAATTAACTTCAACCAGAATGCTTCTGCACCCAGTGCTAAGAACTATTTTGCACATGCTCAAAGAATATACCCCAGTTCAGTGAGGCAATTTAATTTAAAGATGAACAGCTCAGGAAATAAAGGTCAGAAGCTATCAGGTTATATCTTTTTGGAAAAACAATACTTTAGGTTATTGAAAGAAGAATCTTTTATTTCCTCTCACTTTTTTTTTTTTTTGCCTAAACACTAAGTAAAAAAAAAAAAGTCCACTTCATTTTTATTAAAAGTCACTTTCTAACATCTCTATTTTCGATAATGCTGACCACAGAGTCGGATTTTCATGCACGGGGGAATGCAGAGGGTGGAACATGAGTGTCGGGGTACCAGAAATAGCGTTATTACCTAAGAAACAGTTTGGCAGAAGTTAAGGTGATCAGTAACCATGAAAGCAACAGTATACAAGCCAAACTTTTATATCTGTAGATAGTTACAAGTAGTTTGTTCAGTGCCTGTTTAAAGCTAAGCGTCTCCCCGTTAATTCCTGCTCACTTTGTTGCAAAGACTCTACAAGCCAGTCGGCTTGTGACAAATAAGATACTTTCCTCGGACACCTTGCCAAAGCCGGGGGTCTCACGGTTTCTCTCCCCCCCCCCATCTCGGCCACAAGCAAGCTCAAAACTGGCAAGAGATTTACTGAACCTTTAGCCAGACGCGCGGGGGGGTCCCGGGGACCGAGGGACATCAGAGCCGCCTGCAGAGCCGGCGGGAAAGGAGATGCCACCCTTCGCCCTCGGCACCTTGAGGCACACCCCACCAGAAACATCTTTCTGGAATAACCTGGCGCCGGCCGGGACTAACCGAGGGCCGCCACTGCGGCGCAGGGACACGGACACGGGCGGCCCCCGCTGCCACCCCGCGGGGGGAGGCGGCGGCGCGGCCGGACCCAGCCGCTGCACAAGGCTAGGACGGGACGCGACCCGCGTGGGGCACCCGGGCACCGCGACAAAGCGCGCCAGGTCCC